CACGACAGTCACCCACGACAGTCACTCTCGACCAAGACTTTTCTGACATCTTTTCACGACCTTCGGTTTTTCCTGCGGCATGGATCAACGAAGGAGCAAGGAGGATGCTAGGAAGGTTGAGAGACGCTCTTAGGTATACAAAGGTCTGCTGCGCCCGGCTGGCCGGCCTCTTCGTCATAGGAGAGCCCCGTACCCAGTGGTTTTTGAGACTTTTCCCAGCAGCTACACACCCGCAAATGGCCATCGTTTAGTTGGCTGGAGAGGGGAGATAATAACGGGATAACGGCTCCTCTTAGTGTGTACTTGAATGAAGACCTGTGGGGGTATTACTGCTGGAGAGAAGGCGTGAAGGAGGCATAGATACTCCCGGCCTGTAAGCAGAAATGACCTACATGTCCTTACATATTCATAGACTTCATAGGACAATAAACAAATACAACAATACTGTGAAAAGCTTTGTGTCCCTTACACTTGTACTTGTAGCGCATAATTCCCCCACTTTTAGCTGTAATTCGAACATGATGCTTTTTTAGCCAACTTCTACTTTCGTTCCACAAAAATTGCGCCCATTTCATTGCGCAATATTTCCCATAGGTCCATAAACACGCTTCTGGTGATCAGTTAATTTCATCTGTCTTGGGACTTATTGCTTGCAATGCTATCAGCGAGTCCTCAATCATGGTTTGAAATGCGGAAAGATAATTCTATTTTTCAGACATGATGGCAGGGGAATGATAAGAAGCAACCCTTTGGTATTTGATCTTCTACTGCCATTTTCGAAAATTGTAACAACAGGTTACACTGTAAATACCGCCACGGTTAATTTTGCAATATTGAACTGACCACGCTGGTCACTCAAGTAGAGTCGGGATAGCCTAGATATCTATGCCCCTTGGGATGGTAGATGGCAAGTCCAAGTCGAGCAAAGCTGGATCACATCTCTCGCAGTGGGGGTGTATTTCGATAACCAATATTTGAAAATTGCCTTTGGCTGGCATACGAAGAGGATCGACTGTTCTGTTTAAAAATCATAACTTTACACTGGCCTGTGCGAACGAAAACTAGATTATGAGTGTCTCTTACGTCAAAAGAGACATCCAACATTTATAAATAGCACAGATCTTTTGTCATAGCTGCGAAGCTGAATACACTAAAATGATTTAAAAACAGGGTACAATACAAGGCGCGGAGAGGAATTGAATTGAAAATTGCAGGATCTGAAACCGCCAACATCCGTTCTGTACAAGATTGGTATCCAAACCATCCAGACCATACTCTGGAGATCAGCCAAGATAATTTACCGCGGCGCCATTCGATTGAGTCTCAGTTACGGCGCCCACATACACATGTGATTCAAAAACCCTCGAAAAAAGTTAGTGTTAGTATGGCCCCAGATAACCTCTTCCCTCTCTTGTTCCAAGTCCCAGCTGGCAGACCTCCCTTGACTTTCAAAAACCTTGTTGAAGCAGCGGCTCCTGTAAACCAAACCTGCAGATTTGTATCTTTTTACTTGCTGCTTGCTTCCTGTTGTGATGTGATTATCGTAGTTACTACTGTCCTACATAGTTGTAAACTCAAATAGGACATAAATGGATAATATAATATATATCGTAGTTACTATAAATATATCCCTGCCAATTGTCAGGCATACCGTGAATCTTTGAGAGTATTGCACAGACCTGCACAGCCACTATTACGTCCGATTATTGGGACGCAGCTCCACACAATGGCATAGCGTGAGTGATATTTATTGTGCCACTTGAGTCAATGACTATCTAGCACATTGGGCTCCTTTTTGGCCCAGGCCATTCCTTGTACAGTGCTCCTTGCCATTTTTGTTACTCAAAAGATCATTGATATAATGCTCGCGATGAATAGCCATTCAGCTCAGTATTTATCCGTGGCATTCGGCCACCTTTTCCACGGAACCTTCTACCCAAAAAAAATAAAAATTGTAGCAATGGAAACTGCGTGCGCGGGATAAAGTCTCATAAAACCTGCAGCCCCAGCCTGGCGAGGCCTAGACACCGGGACCACATGAGGTGCGCATATTCATCTATATCTCCCTTCTTTGTAACAGTCGAGGCCATCTTGACTCAATCCGCCATCTCTGTATCGGGTGCTGGGTACGCTTCGGAAACTCATCGGATGGCTTCTCCTCCATGATCAAGGGTTGGTGATGAGAGGGGCTCCGACCCCACCATCTAATCAGATCGTGGTCAGCTTCATGATAATGGTGATAGGGGGCAGTGTTGAGAGATGAAGACAATACAGACCGCGAAAGCGATTGGGAATCCTCGTCGAAGTGAGGAATTTGTCACTCAGTCTCGGCTCTGCAGACTTTGCAGTGAGAGCTGGAGGTTGGTAGGGGACACCACTGACAGGTGTTGAGAATAGTCCCCCTCAATGGCATAGAGAAGTCAAGTGTAGTATGGCATTTTTTTATTATTAAGTTGCATCAGATTCTAACTGTGTATGCAGCTATCTAGCTATGACAAAATATCAGAGAAAAAGTATAGAAAAGATGACGTATTGACAATGAGAGCACTCATGCCTCGGAATTCATTTGCAAAAATCACTGCGAAGTTATGGTGGCTTTTTCTTCAACCCAAGTCAATCCTCATCCGTGAATATCCACACAGAGAAACATCACAACCCCCATGAATTATCCAGACATGCCTTCATCATCCACTAACTTTTCTCCGCGCGTAATATGATCTTTGATGTCTTCTTCATAAGCGGAATAGATGCCCAGACTACTCAAAAAATACTGGTAAACACCACCAGGATGCGTATCACGGCACCTTCTATCGTTGAGTTGTGTTTATAACGTCAGCTGCACTCTCGCAATCGAAGTCTTGGCGCGCACAAGGCTATTTTGGTGAAATTCTTTGCCAAATTTCCAAATTTCACGCCCGTCGAAAACGTATCCAACCTCTGCAGCATCTTGTGGACTTGTCCTGATCCACTTCACGTCCATCCCAAAGAAATGTCTCCCAGATATGTGCGCCATGCTTTGTTATCTCCGTCGGATATAAAAGCGGCGTGGGCGTGTATTTAATGATCAGCTGAGGCCAGAGAAAGTCGAAGAGAAGATTGGTCATTGAAATGAGGATTTACTAGGTCGTACCTGTAAACTTGATAAGGTTTTGGCGGAGATTGATCTCGTAAGGACGGATAAATTGATTTCATAGAGAGTCTTGCCCTATTTCCTCGTGGGCCAATTAGTTCGGTATGGCGAATTTTGACTGAACTTGGCTCTGGGACAACATTTCACTCCTAGGTTCGTAGAGGACACCGCGGACAACTGTTCAGTCTTTACCTTCCGATAGAATGGCATGAAATTATAATTGTAGAATATCCTGGTAGACAATGATCTACTGTATAGTGGGTACCAAAATTTTGTCTACAAGTAGAACCTATCGCTAAAATATGTTCATAGATCACTACTGAGCTATCCATCATATCACCAAGCTGTAATAATCGTTTTCCACTTTTATCTGACATCTCTAGCCTGTTTAAGGTTACATTTCTGCTCATGCCCTTATTTTAAAAGTTACAGATACACTTGGCTCCATAATATCAAATCGGGAGATAGTCTGTATTTTATGAGACAAGCTCCCTTTTGGTGAGATGAATGGTAGAAAGACTGAGTTGGAGGACTGGTCAGTGGATCTTAGAACCGATATTGAACATGAGCCTTCAATTTTAGGTATGCTTGTGTTTACGTGCAATTTTGATTTGGGGGCGATTCCTCTTTGCTGTCCGAAAATGCAGGGACTATTGAGCCTGGTACTGGCACCGCTTGAAGGCGAACAAATCGTCTTTGCGGGCAAAATGGCTCACAACGAACATTTGAGATTCTGTAGTCCAATCGGTTGTTACTGAGACTGGGCCTATTTAATATCCTCGTTCATTGTAACTCACCAAGCCGGCAAATGCTACGATCTTTAATTGAGTTGCAGAAATCAGGGTCAAATGACGTATTCGTTGATTTTGCTGATCTCGGAAAATATGTTTTTCCAGAATTCGCTTCCGGAGAATGCGAAAGTCAAAGTGTGACAGGCCCTGTCAAATAATGTCAATGGGCGTTTGAAGAAAAGGAGACAGGAGATGTGGAGCTCATGGACTACCTTGTCATAATGCGCTTGGTTGATTTTGGTCATGCGGATGATCTGTGCTGGTCTAATGCATTATTATCGTCATTCGTTCATAGCAGTTTGAACTTGTCAACATATTACTAACCCAGAATGTGGGAAAGAATATGAATATCTGTTTAACTACAGTCAATATCCGAGTTGTTAATGTATGGGTCAACAGGCTAGTACGGGAACTGATGCGGGCGCTCGAATAAGGTTTCGCTAACGGCGGCTCCCGTTATTCAAGGCCCCACAAGCTAGTGGTCTTTGTAAGTTTGTGTCAAGGAATCGCTGATGAACAACTTGGAAGAGGTTGAGGAAAAGAAAAAGTAAATGAATGCATTGCCCTTCACCTATCTGTCTCTCGGAAACCCTAATGAAGCCGGTTTAATCAAGTCAATTTTCACAGTCCTCCCAACGTTAGAACAGTCGTGCGCTGATAATTTATTTGTTGTGCGACGGTTACTGCGTTCACCAAAAAATCATGTTGAGGTTAGTGGCCTTAGACTGGCATTAAGCATCCGAAAATCCGGAAAGCAGAGGGGCCAAGGGAATGGGTGCATTGAAGGTACTTTACGATGGAAGAGGCTATGACCCAGCTGGTGCTCCACAGCATGTTCATAGGGGAGCTAAATGGTAATGCGTACTCCTATTCACACTGTCACCGTATTACTAATCAACTACAAGGGACGGATGTCAGTGGGGTCCGCTCTTTCGTTGAACCCCCAAAACTACGGGCCCCGGCTCTATGCCGGTCCAAATCTTTCGCCCGCGACGACCTTTATATCACATTGTAGGGCCTGCTAGATTCTGCTCTATCACACGAGGGTTTGAAGATATCCCACACTCCTTTCACCAGCTATGGAACTTGCGACTGCTGCTGTCATTCTTTTCCTTGCAACCGCCTGCTTAGGAGCTTATCCGCAGGGTCAAGTTGATAAATGTATCTCTTTCGGCGATTATCAGGTCTACGAGCAGCTACCTGTCGCTCCCTCACCATGGACTCCGAAAAGAATTGACCATATCAATCAAGACCAGTCATTTAAGCTTCGGATCCACCTGAAAAATATAAATACACCTTCTTTTCATCAGAAGGTTTTCGAAATGAGCACGCCCGGTCATCAATCATATGGTCAACATATGACACGTAAAGAGGTAAACAGTTACTTAGCACCATCACCACTCTCATTTCTATTGGTTCGTCAGTGGCTAGAAGAACAAAACGTTGGGAATATAACTGTTGAAAATGATTGGTTCGTGGTGGAAAGTACTGTCAGAGGAGTCGAAAGGCTTCTACACACAAACTTCGAAGTTTATGAGAATACACTGACAGGAAAGTCTGTATTACGGACACTATCTTACAGCCTTCCTCGCTCTCTCAGAGCTCATATCGACATCATTGCACCTACAATCAAATTCTCTACACCAGGGGCTTACAGATCCACGCTGGTGGACTGGCCTGCGGAAGAAATACATGAAAATACTGCGTCTCTTGATGGTGGTGCTGCTGCTGCGTGCAATTCATCTATTACTCTTGAATGTATCAAAGACCTCTATAACCTCCGCCAATTTTCAGGTTCAAATAGTAGTAATAATCAATTTGCCCTAGCTGGTTTTCTCGAAGAATACGCTCAGCACGATGACCTTAACCGTTTCCTAACACTGTATGAGCCTGATGCTGTCGGAAATGATTTTTCCACTGTTCTTGTAAATAATGGCTCCAACACACAACAGAACGAAACAGACAAGTCTTTGAATATGGGTGAAGCTAATCTAGACATTCAATACGCTTTTCTGGCCTATCCAACACCAGCTATGTACATCTCAACAGGAGGTCGACCGCCCGAGACGTCTAAATACGAGGTTGATAACGAACCTTACCTTGAGTTCCTTACCTATCTCCTCGGAATCGATCAGCCCCCACAGACAATCTCTATATCATATGGTGACTCTGAATGGTCTGTACCAGAGTCGTACGCTCGCACTGTCTGTGACCTCTTTTCTCAATTAGCTGCCCGTGGCGTGAGCGTGCTTGTTGCAAGCGGAGACTCTGGCTCCGGATCCAACTGTAATGAAACCCATCCTGGCTCTCTTTACTACACACCATCATTTCCAGCTAGCTGCCCATTTGTTACCAGCGTTGGCTCGACCTATCACATCTCTCCCGAAATTGCCGTCTCATTCTCTGGTGGCGGGTTTTCTGATATCTTCCCCCGTCCAGCATATCAGGATCAGGCCGTGACTACTTACCTCGATAATGCTGATCCAAGCTTCACACCCTACTTTAACTTGTCAGGTCGCGCTTACCCAGATATAGCAGCGCAAGGTGTCAATTTCCACGTATTTGTTCGTGGCAATAATGTCCTTGAATCTGGCACAAGCGCTTCTACTCCTATTATGGCTGCTATAATTGCTCTATTAAATGGTGATCGGATTGAGCGTGGGGCTCCGCCTTTGGGCCTACTAAATCCATGGCTATATGAAAACGGACAAGCAGCCTTTACTGACATCGTTGGAGGAAAAGGTAGTGGCTGTCCACAAATTTCCGGCAGTGGCTTTCGTGCATCTACAGGATGGGATCCAGTAACGGGCCTTGGGACACCTGACTTTGAAAAATTACGAGAACAAAGCTCGAATAGCATCTAAAATTACCTGCAGATGATAATAATGTTCCAGGTATCTTCAGAATTTACGGAATACTGGTTGGACATAGGTTTATGTTCCTGTTCGCGATATAACGCGTAATTTTACTTCGGCACAATGTAAAAATTGATTGCACTGGGATGCTGTTGCTCCCTATATTATTTCAGCCTGTTTTACCGAATCGGTAAATTTACAAAATATAAAAACTCTATTCTCTAGATAGAGAATAGCAGAAGTTGACTTCAGGTAGTAAACTTTGAATTAAAATGATGATACCCAATTTGCTCGAGACATCTGATCATGTGTTTAGACGTAGCTCCTGTTTGCTACAAATCTTTGTTCCTAGTGAAATCTGTCCCACTCATTTCGTAGAGCTCCCAATACCTGTGGAGCATTACATGCCAAGGATTCACTTGCATCAGGGTACTTTTATACTCCCATGTTCCCAGCCTCGGTTAGACATGTATGGGATGGTCCTAGCTTGACAAGCCCTCAAATCTTTTTTTAAATAATTTAATGTTTATGCAGCTATTTAGCCTTGACACATGACCAGTGCTATATATACATATAGGATAGCTCCTTTGACGTTAGAGACCCTTCTACTCTGGATTTCATTCGCAAATACCACCATGAGGTATGCTTGCTTACACATACAGTCGACCTTCCTTCGTAAGTACCCACCAAAGGGAATTATAAACCCCTTAGTTATCCAAGCATACCTTTGTCATCTTTGTATACTAGCGCCGCGAGAAAAGTGATTGTGTTTTGCCGGATTTGAGCCAGTGGTCTACTTTCTTGAGTGGAATATGTGTCCAAGCTATCCAGACTCTACTTGGCAGACCGGTCAATACAATGTACCACCGCACCATCCAACCATGGCGATATTTTTGGTGTTGCCTGCACTCTCGCAACCGAATACTTGGCACGCAAAAAGCTCAATTTGTAAAAGCTGCTTACCAAAGTACGAAATTTCACGCCCACCGAGGTTATATATATCCTCTGCATCATTTCGTGAACTTACCCTGAATCCTCTCACGCCAATCCCAAAGAACTGTCTCCCGGATTTGTGCTCCACGCTTTGTTTCCTCCGTCGGGTGTAAATATCAGCGTGGGCGTGTACTTGGTGACCAGCTTAGGCCAGAGAGTAGGCGATGAGAAGTATGGCTATTGAAACGAGGATGTACTAGGTCTTACTTGTAGATTCGATGAGACTTAGGTGGGAGTTGATCTCGTTGGGAGTGAATAGAATAGAATAGAATTTTATTAATGTCCCTACTGAGTCTATGACTATGAAGGACAGCTAAAACCATCTAAAAAGCTTTAAAGCTAATAGTAAATTTGTATATTGTTGTGCTTAACTTTTGCCAATAGATGATGAGGACCATGCCCTATTTTCGTTGGGAGTGAAAATTTGACGTGGTGGAGTGTTTTGAATCATTGCCTCGTGGGCTAACTTCATTGATATTGCGAAATTTAACTGAACTTGGCTCTGGGAGAATATTTCACTTCCAAACTCGCAGTGGACACGGCGTACAGGTGTTCAGTCTTGCCCTCCGGTACTCAAATCTATGCGCCTACAATGTTATAAATCGCAAACTGCAGTCCGATAATCGCTCACGGAAGAACTTTGTCGGCAATCTGATGTGCTTGCAGGGTTATCTGTAAACAGATTATCAACTCTCCAACACCCTGGTGTACCCCAGCATTCGTGGAAACATCTGTTCTCCAAAGTCTACTGAGGGAATATTGGGTTTATTTAGTTTTGTTGGAAGATTGCATATTTATTTATATTTAGTGTCGTCGTGCCTACGCATAGCACAAGAGTTTTCCTTGTGCCGCAAGCTCCTAGAGCTTGCGGCAACCTCTTCCCCAAACCGAAGAAGATGCCCGAGATGGAATGCAGTGTCAGGTGACTTAAACTGCCATCTCGTCTACGAGAGTTTCGATCCCTAAGGGAGATACGCACTAATGAAAGAGGGAGACACCGTAGAAGTTTGAATAGTTGGGGCCATCAAGTACGCCACGTTACTGATACATACGTGACTACATTGGAAAATGTGTATTGGCACTATGAAGAAACTGACTCAAAGAATATAGGCACATATCCAGAGTACTTTGAAGTTGGTGAGTCAAATAAAATTTCTACGTAATCCCTCTCATTGTATTCTTAACATATAGTTATGCCACATGAAAGTATCTACCGTAGTGCCACGATTTGAAGTTTTCAGTGGATTTATATGGGGCGCATATTTGCTACAGGGGTATTCCCCTGCTATGACCAATTTTGACAGGGTACATAATTTATGTCCTGTATTTCCAGGCCTAAACCGGGGGCACAATTAGATTTCATGTCACCCTTAATTTTATGCAAATTCAACCAGCTCTCTAGTTCATTCCCATTGCCTTGATGAGCGCTGACCGCTAAAAAATTACACAGATCTTCTCATCTTGTGCTTGAGTTACAATGAGAATTAGATTTCTCGGATATAAAGTTATTTATTCCGAAGACACATGGCTTTACTCGATAATAACCTTATTTTACAGATGAATCCACCTCTAACACCTCGTATCAAACAATTATCCAGAGATCAAAACATTTTAGTAAGTAGAAAAATTAGATATCAAAAAATATAAATTAAAAGAAAATTTTGATTTATGGGCTTCATGAATCTGGCAAAAACCAGACGCAGATTGCCGCGCAACTAGGCATTTCTCGGAGACAAGTTAGCTATTCACTGCGCCGCGGAAGTGTCTGCCCCAAAATGAGAAAAAGAACATCCTCAAGGCTGAAAGCAGTTGATGTTGATCAGATTATATCTTACGTTGAGTCTTCCCCTGAAAACCGCCGCAAAACATTTCTGGAACTCGCCTCTGGGCCCTGAAGACAACTTGGTGTTAGCGAGCAGGTAATACAAAGAGAACTTCAAAAAATAGGATATCAATAACAACTCATCTAAAGCCTCAAACATCCCAAAAAACTATGAAGACATGCAGGGAATGGGCCGAAGCTCATCTCAATCGGACATATGAAGACTGGACGTCAGTTTTATGGACAGTCAAAACTTGGGTATAGGATAGAAGACATTCTAGAGAGTGGGTGACACGAAGTGTTCGTACATTTCTCTATAAATAAATAGTAATTTGATGATCTAACATTATGAGTTAGACTTCCCAAGAATACAACGCTGATTGTGTTGGAGAAAAATCGAAGAATAGGGTCGGCTGGATGTCCTGGGGTTGCTTCTCAGGGCCAGAAAAAGGCCCCTGTTTATTTTGGGAGAAGTGGGGATTCATGAACTCCCAAAAATATTGCGAGAAGATAGTTCCTCTTATCGATGCCATGGTCTTCATGAGACCTTGGCTTTCCGTAATGCAGGATAATGCTTCTGCCCATATAGCATCAAATATAATGGAAGATGTGAGCCTCTGGCTTTTTCAGCCAATTTTCTGGCCGGCCAACTCGCCTGATCTTAACCCCATTGAAGCAGTTTGGATTAGGATGAAGGATTATATCCAGCGTCATCATCTGAATCTGGGTTGCGGAAAGCAGCGAACTCAAGATAGTCTTTGCAAGATTATAAAGGAGGAATGGGATTCCGTGTCTTCCGAAGATCTTATGATACTCATTTAGAGTATGCCAGCAAGATGTCAGGCTGTGATAGATGCGTATGGGGGACCAACCAGATATTAAGGCCTGAAAATATGGAAGTCAAATGCTCAGATCCAAGGTTAGGATAAGACTGTGGCACTATTTTGTGATTCGAAATCCTTTGAACTCTTGTAAATAAGTTGAAAAGTCAAGTAGCAAAAATGCACAAATGTTATGCAGCCGATCATTATACAAATTAGGTTTAGTACGAAGGAAAGACCCACTGCAAACTATGGTGTCCAGATAAAAACTGCCATGCAAAATCTTTCAAAAATTTGCACAAATACGGGGGCTAACTCCAATATGGAAGGTGACTATGCCTAAGGCGTCTTAAATTACACGCTAAAGCCCCCATTGCAAACTTGACACCGTGGCATCACTCTACTGTTTGCTCAAATTTGGGTTCAACGCTAATCTCATTGGAGATTGGTTCGAATGTGTTCTAAAGTATATGTAACTAGCCTTGCTGCGCTCAATTATGTAGTTCTAGGGTGAGCAATAAGTGTGGAATTACAACCAATCATATGCTTTTTTTTCACCCACTAAGCTGCGCTCTACATATTCATGACTGGCGCTTTAGTGTTTCCTTCATATTTCTGGTATTAACTACATGGAGACGCACTTAAAGATACTCCGCAAGGTGATTGGGCGCGCCCACTGAGGCTTCCAACGTTTTTCTTCCTTTTTTTTTGATTATTATGTTAAAGTTTTGAGCTAAAGCTCTAAGTCCACTGTAGGTACAATACTGGTGGAGCCGGCGGGGATCTATTATAGTTATAAGCTTAGGTGAGTATCACTATGCATGCTGACCTTGTACGAGTATATAGATCGATAACAATGGAATGTGGTTGAAGGTCAACTTGAGGATTTGATTTGATTGAATTTAACGTCGTGCCTGTCCACAGCTCGTGACTACTGTCACGTGCTGGACGGCCCAGTCCCTACAGGTAAACTTGAGGATAATTGTGCTGTATTGTTTTAGTTATGTGCCGAACACTCGCTACTTATACTTGTATGCGGCCGTTAGTCAGCTTCTGCACACACAAACTTCCTTCTACAGATATAGCAAATATTACAAGGACTACTCGAACAGCGTAGACATCTAATCACGCTATATACATGTAAGTATACTTCCCAAATAACATGCCCATCACAACAGGATCATCGTTTATAGGCCCAGCTCATTCCAACCGCGAGACCCGCTACAGAAAAAGAAGACAAAGTATAACTCAGAAGATACCACCTACTCCGACTCCGAAATCGAGACTCCATCGTTTAACCCTAAATTCAAGGACATGAAAATTTCCTCAGAGAAACGACACTTCTCGCCTAGATCTCTTTTGTGTCATGCAGTGTGGCAATAACTAGTTTGTCTGATCCCCGCTGAGAGTAGTGGATGAAGTGGGTTGGAGTAGTTTCCTTCCCGCAAGAGCACTCCATAGGAGCGTGTTTCCCTTCCTTGTTCCCTCCAATGTAGCGTCTGCTTAATCCTGCTGTGAATCTCGTCATATTAGAAACCTTGATACTGACCATCCCTCGGACATTGTCCGTTGTCGCCGTACACGTGAGCGTGGGAGCCGGTTAGACGCCAAAGAGCTCTTGTCAAAATATGGATAGTTTGGAACCGATAAATCTTAGTGTTCAGAATAATTAGGTGTTTGGTTGATACATCTTGTGGAGTTACTTGTCTTGGACATAGAGGTTTCGCTTCGGGTATAGTATTATGAAGTCTCGAGCTTTATACTGAACATGTTTCCATCAAAGCTATGTGTGGACTGTTTCATGATAACATGCTTAGAGACAGGCAGCAAATGATCTTTTCTGAAAATACATAATCTAGATAGGAACAGATATAGCAGTAGGGAGCAACGAAATAATTGATAATTCTTACAATTATATATTTTCCATTGACTGGTAAAGTCTAACAGCTCAAGACCGAGGCAGCGATGCCACAGCCTTTGTCAAATGCTCAAGTTGACGTACCGGCAAAATGTTGTGCGTATTTCATCAGTGGCGACCCGTTGTAGGTCGAGCTGTTTGTGGCCATGGACGAGGCATAGACAAGTATAAGGCCGGTACTTCGACCGTACCTTCACAGAGCACAACACCTACAGTGATATGGATGTCCATTTACATTTTTGACTGCGAGTACGACATTTGGATCAAGATTGCTTTGGTTGGTTGGCGAGATGATTTCGGTGAGGGTCGCGAGATTAATTAGCTGAGAAGGATCTTCAGTAAAATTCGAGATAATGAAGGGTTGCAGTTTTTATCCTATCTACTGTTTGTATTTGGGGTGTAGAAGTTTGTTTTGGTTCGGTTGTACGATCGTGAAATCTCTGCGTGACTGAGTTTCCACCTGGAACTTGCCAACATCACTCCTCCCGACCCACATCTCGACGAAAACTCTCGAATGCACCCTTTTTCGTGACTGAATATCAGGTCTGGAAGAATATTCCACATCCAGGCCCGTAGAGGAGACCGCCTGTTGTAATAAAATAGTTCTGCAGAGTACCGATGCGGGCTCTCTGTCTGTGCACTACTACATATAACTGTTAATTCACTTGTAACTAGATTCCATGAACTATGTAGTCACTCCTTTCTCTTGCCTTAGTTACGGGAGATTCTCTAAACACAAGGATCAAACTTCAGTTGGATAATGTTGTCAAGTTGAGACAATTGCACGTACCTCATCAATCCCCCAATTTTCGTCATACCAAGCTTGTTCCCCGTATATAGATGTAGTCTCTCCTGCCTCCACAGATCTTCAATTCATGGTTTTAATTGATGAAGGTGAGAACTCTTACAGTCGTCACTCTAATGTTAAAGTTCCTCTGTTCCTGTGCTCGAATACTAGTCTTTCTTCCCCTGCAATAGCCCCAAATACCTCTCGATCTTCAACCTCACAACATCCCTGGCAGGTGTTCAGCCCTCGTCCTCCGCTTTAGCCTCTTGGTTAGTAGCGCTATTTCTTGAAAACTTGTCTATCATTCACCTACAGTCTTATCAGAATCCTCAACATTTTTATTATTAATTTATTTTATTGTCATTTATGAGTCTAGGACTATGTAGGACATGCATGTCCTCTCTGCCTATAGGCGAAGGATACCTATACCAGTAGTATATCCCCTCCTATGCCTCTCATACAGGCCCCATCAAATAGTACCGCCCCTCACAGGTCCTCATTCGATCATACACTCAGAGGAGCGGCTGCCCTTCATTATCTCACCACTCCAGCCGACGAAACTATGGCCACTTGCGGATGTATGACAGCCGGGAGGATTTGCAAAAACCGCTGGCTGCGGTGCCCTTTTAATACCGATATTAGGATTAAATCCGAAGACATAGTGACCCTTCCGAAGCATTCGAAGAGGCCGGCCAGCTGAGCGCTGCAGACTTGGGGGTACCTCGGGAAATTCACCCTCTGCCTTTCTAGCATCCTTACAACTCCTTCACGAAGGTCGTGCTGAAATGGCATAAAAGTCTTGACAGAGCGTGATTGCTGTGTGGTAGCTTAGCCCAACTTCTTTTGTGCCGTCCAGGGCGCTGGGGAGTGCCGTTGACTCATCGACAATAGAAGTCCTCCTGGCTAATTAGCCGAATCTTGGTCTTGGCGCCCACAAAAAATACAAAGTTGAAAACCCCTCGAAAATATCGGTCCCAGCATGCTCTTCAGAGACCTATTCCCCCTCTCGCTCCACATCTCAGCAGCCTGTCCTTCCTCAAGATGTATAACCCCATTAGAGCAGCAATCCCCCACAAGCCAAGACCCAGGCTTTGTATTTTTATACTTGATTTCCTCCTTGCGGATATAAATATCGTCGTAAATTTGTAGTGAGTGGTGGCCGGTAATAAATGAGGCAGGCTCCTACTTGCAATTGGGGCGACACCTTTTTCGTTCGTTGAGGCGAGATGATATGTGGTTAGAAAGAGGTTGAGGACTCAGAAGATAATGACAAATACTGCATAATTGAGAAGTCTTCAAACGGAGATATGGATGTGTTTGCTTTCGGCTTCTATTCTTATGCCATTCTTCTTGAATATCTCAGACACGCAGAGCGTGATGAGCGATTATGCCAGCAACACCGGAATGTGAAGCTTTCGTCTTTGCCGGCTTTGCACAACACAGTCGCAACTAATGTTGTAAAAAAGGCACTAGATCGAATGTCGTCATAATACACATACACCTATCAATGATAACGTCACTCTTATCTCCTTATCCGATGATCGGGATGCCAAGACGTCTCTTTCGGCTACAAGCTCTGGTAGCAGCCAGAAGTTGCCGCATCAACTTAAGCATTGAGCTCCCCGCATCCTTTTGCACAAGCCCTACGAGCTGTATCAAGCCATGCTCGCCCGCAAAACTTGTCTCCTACAGTGCCGACAATCACTCAGTTCTCGGAATGTTTTAGTCGATTCGTCAATGAGACACGCACTCTCCACTCTCGTAACGCCCGAAGAACTGCACGCACGGCTAAAGCCAATCACTGTGGGGCAGGCTACGGACTCGTCCACTGTGGTGCCTCTCTGCGCAACTTGGTTCCTCCCGACCTCGGCCCACCAGGGACTTGAATCATTCCGTACCCGGCGTCTTCCTAACGCTCGATTCTTTGACATTGATGAGATATGTGACAAGGAGTCTCCATTTCCCCACATGTTGCCATCTGCCTCGGACTTTGCCAAAGCTATGTCTACCCTTGGCGTGCGGAGACATGATACAGTCGTGGTCTACGACAGCCTCGAACAGGGCATCTTCAGTGCTCCGCGCGTAGCCTGGATGTTCAAGGCCTTTGGTCATAATTCGGTCCATGTTTTGAATAACTTCCGAGGCTGGGTCGACCGAGGCTATCCCACGGAAAGTGGTGACTCTCGAAAAGTGGACTATCATCCTTATCCTATCCCCGAATTAGATTCTACAAAACTAGTTGGATTCGACGAACTCAAAGAAATCGTGCAGAGTCAGCAACAAGATGGCGTGACTCGTGCCCAGATTCTCGATGCGAGATCATTTGGACGCTGGAGCGGCAAGGAACCCGAGCCCCGTGCGACTATTAGGAGTGGCCACATTCCAGGAAGCATATCCATCTCCGTTTCTGAGCTGCTCGATGCCGACACTAAGGCTATTCTACCCGCTCATGAACTCGCACAGATATTTAAGCGAAAGAACATAGATCCGGAAAAACCCATCATCACGAGCTGTGGCACGGGTGTCACTGCGGCTATTATCAATATGGCACTGGATGAAGCAGGCTATGGATCAGAGAAAGATCGTAGACTCTACGACGGAAGCTGGACGTAAGTAACCCCCAAATTATCAATAAACGCGCTGCTTACCGAATCAGAGAATGGGCTCAGCGTATTACAGACGATGAAAATGAAACCAAGCGAATGATCGAAGTACTATGATCTTTAGCCCCAATATATGACCACAAGGCTTGATCAAAGGTCCAAGGAGATAAATAGCTACAGAGATTATCACCTAAACATCTGTCCTGATACAACGGGACAGTATCAAGTGGGATGGTAGACCGAGACAATGATATATTTCTAGTCATCTGTTATCTTCCTTGACTGAAATGAAGACCTGGGGCATAGTTCATAACATAAAAAGTTGTTAAAAGTTAGAATAATAGGAGTCATCAAGTAGGCCACGCTCTTGTACCCGCGTGACTATAAATCATGTAATTTGTTTCGCCACGGTAAACACTAGAGTAAATGCACTCTACAACCTCATGATTAGGGGGACAAAGACTGAACACCTATACGTGGTGTCATCTACGAACATGATAGACAAATATTTTTCCAGAGCCAAGTTTGGTCAAGTTTCGCAATTCCAAAGAAGTTGGCCTACGAGATCAATTTCTCCCTCTCAACAGGATTGATCCCCACCAAAACCCCATCAAGCTTACAGGTACGACTTATTACATCCTCATTTTAGTAATGACATCTCTCATCAAAGTTTTCTGGCTTCAGATGGTTACCAAATACACGCCCACGACGTTTTCATACCCGCCAAAGGAAACAAAGCGTGGCGCACAAATCTGGGAGACAATTTCTCAGCATAGACTTGATAGGGATCAGGACAAGTTGACAAGGTGAAGAAAACTGTGGATACAATCTTGACGGGTGTGAGGTTTGCAATATCTGCGAGGAGCTATAGAAATTGAAGAGTATTTTACGTGCCAAGCTTTGAATTGCGAGAGTGCAGGTGACATTATAAACACTGTCACAGTTGGATGGTGCAGTGGTATATCGTCTTGGCTGGTCTCCCAAGTGAAGTCTGGATAGCTAGGACACATGTTCCACTCGACACAGGAGACCGCTAGTTCGAATCCGGCAAAACTTAACTACATTTCTCGCGGCGCTGGTATACATGGATGACAGAGGCATGCTTGGATAGTCAAAGGTTTTGAATTTCCCTTCGGTGGATACTTTCGGAGAAGGGTCAACTGTTTCTTTTTTGCATCAGATTTTAATTACGTATGCAGCTATCTAGCTACGACACAATATCAAAGAAAAGTACGCAAAATATGACTCGATTTACGAGAAGAGCACTCATGCCTCGGATTCCACTTGCGAGTACCACTGCGAAGTTATGGTGGCTTTTTCTTCACCCCAAGTCAACCCTCATCCGTGAATACCCACCCAGGAGAACGTCTTAAAAACCCTGAGTTATTCAGACATGCCTTCATCATCCACTGATTTTTTTCCGCGCGAAATATGGTCTGAGGCGTCTCCTTCCCAAGTAGAGTAGGTGCCCAGGCTACTTAAACTACACCAGAGAACACCACCAAGAGGCGGACCACAACACCTTACATCGTTTACTTGTTTTTGGAGGGTCGACAGTTTGTGTAAGCAAATATACCTCATAGTGGTATTGGCAAATGAAATCCTGAGTATGAGTGTCTCTAACGTCAAGAGTCATCCATTATGTAAACATAGAAACTGTCATGTATCATAGATAATTAACTGAATACACATTAAGTGATTTCTAAAAAAAAGGATCATAAGTTATGATCTCTGTAGACGTAGATCTATATACATACAGATATTTTAGCCAGGAATATAAAGCTAAACACATGTGTCTTGGTAATAAGTCCAAAAATCTTATAACCTGGACTTGAGACGTAGTCATCCGCCGGAATGCTGGTGCGAAATAAATACCATTGCGCATAAAACTTTCAGTGAGGGGTGTATTAATGACGATAATATATGATGGGTAATTTGATAGTTCAATTAGCCAGACTTACATATAAGTTATTGTTGGCATTCCATGATATATCATATTTCAATAACTACTACCTATCTGACTAGCTTTCTAGGCTGAGTAAGTATATGAAAGAATAGATGAAGAAAATTGCTAGGACAAAAACCACCCTGCGCGTTACCCACTTTCAAATCAGATTGCTGAGAGTTTATAGTCTCGAGATAGATTAACCGTCTCGATGTAAAAATTGCCCTCCGTAATATCGCGTTACGGTTATGTACTTGAAGAATTCCTCGCATCCGTTTTCAGCCAACATAGCCCGTCCTCTTGGTGGTGGTTCATGTCTGGATTTTCTCTATTGTCGTAGAGCCGTTTAATACTCTGCAAAGAGCCAAGGACTTCTCTCCCTTCTATAGACGTATCCGCAGTAGACTTTTTTGTGTCTGAATCTGTCATGGTAGCCCTTGAATTCACCGTGTTCTGTACTAGCTGCTATCAGACGATGGTACGCCCATACCGGCAATCCATGCTCAGGTAGTCGTTTTCGTCTCACATACAGATCTTATTCTTCGTACCGACTTGGTCTATGCTCAAGCCACTAGGGTTCCACAGCTACCTCAGCCTACTGTTGAATGAGCCAGTTCGGGGCTATAAAGGTGCATTTCTGCTCACCCTTCGAGTCTGGGATGTCTCTCAGGTCTGCCTTGGCTAATTTGCCCGTCTGCTCGTTCCCTATAATTCCGTAATGGCCTGGTATCCAACAGAATTCGACTGATAGAAACTAATCTACCTGAGTCATAAATTTGTCGACCACAGACTGAAACGAGCTTGTTCAGCTGCTTTGTAGAGCCCGTGCGGCTTTAGGGCTATCTAGAAGTAGCTTTACTGGGCCACCGTTCGCCTTTATTGTGGCTTCTTTCGTAGCTTTCTAGGCTCCTAAAAGCTCGTATCGTAAACCTCTGCTTCGGGCATGGGACCTGAACCGAACCCTATCATTTGGCATGCCCTATAGAAGTTGTATACCCATGCAGATTTGGCGGGGCCGCATGAAGATCCATCCGAGTAAGCACAGACTGTCTCTGCTGAAAGACTAGCTATCTATTGCTCGGCCTGGTCTGCTTTCATTTGCTTGACGCATCTAGTGTATTCGCTTGTGGGTTTATCTCTCGGGTAATATAGCTTGCCTGGACCTTCAGAAGTCGGCACGCTCTTGAAACGCATCTGAAACCGCGTGAGGTAACAATCTAGCACAGAGGTCGCTCGGGTTTTCTGGCCTGTTCGCAAGCCAAGCCGACTTATCGTATCATTTTGTCCCTCTCTAGATCTGAATACTAGCGGGTGCCAATCGTCGAGTCGTTTAATCCGTGATGGAGCCTAGATATTTATTGCTGTAGCAAAAACTTCGGTGGAAGAGTGCCCAATTCTCAATTCAGAGTTATATTTGGCGTGGTACGCCATGCTGGTAGTGCTGGTAGTGCTGCTTTTAGGATTGTGCTGTTCAGCAGATTGATATGCCTGCCGACCCCGGTACCCACTTTCCTATCACGCTTAGTAGTGATCCTAGTCAGCCGTGGTCACCATGCCTTTGCTCCATATAGTAATTTGCTGAGGGCACAAGACTGTACCACTTTGATCATTGGGCCCGGGTCGATGCCACGTTGGACCGAGGTAAGGTGAAGTATAAATTGGGTTATACGTTGAGTTTTCCCGCACCATTCTTGGGCATGCTGTTTAAAGGGTAGATGGGAGTCGAGTCATTTTACGAATAGGGATGGTTAAATACTATATCCCTTGATCTGAATGCCGAATCCTATAGTGTCTAGTCTTCTCTTTGGTCCTCCTATCACTAGGAGCCTCAACTCAGCTGTATCGAAGTCTATCTTGCGCTCATTAGTTAGCGAGACCAGTTTGTCGACATCCCCTTGAACTTTTTCTCCTGCCTGAGCCGCAGTGATTCCTACAAAGATTATGGCAATGTCGTCAGCACAACCAAATCGGTTTCTGCTATTGCCTTCTTGGAGTAAAATAGAGATGTATAGCAGGAACAAGAACGGTGACAGTGGTGAGCCTCGAGGGACCCCACACTCTACTACTTTGTCTTGTGTTGTACCACTTTGATATCAGACCCGTATCCTACGCTGAGACAGAAAAGGTTCTATCCATCGACAAAGATACATGGAAAATCATTGTTCCCGCATCTATTACAGCAAGTGCTTGTGGAGCACTGCATCGAATGCACCTTGCACATCTAGGATTGCCAGGGCTATGACCTTGCCGTTGATGCGAACGTTATGTTGTAAGCTTTATTATTGTGTGATTGTAAGTTACAGACTTTAGTTATCTGCTAATTAACCCGTCCCAAATACTTTCAGATGGCTCTGTAGCCAGTCTCTTTTAGGTGTGTTCAACCGGTGAATGAAGTGTTCGATGGTATTTAACTTACGACTAATTTGTTTACCTTTCTTTGGGCCTGCTTACTACATCACCTACATTGTAATCAAATGCTTATATGATCAGTGACGTTGTAAGAACCTCCCTTCCCCATGCCTAGGAATGAGAAGAGGGCAATGGATTCCCAGATCCTGACTGTTATTGAGCCTCGAGAAGACTTCAGTACGATCACTTTTGCGAAATTAAAACAGGAAGCTAGCAAATCCATAGACTCCGTCCGCTCCTAATACAAGCTCAGACTTCTTCAGCGATGTCATCTCCACGTTATCCAGCGGTGACTGGAAGCAGTGAATGGAGGCAGGTCATCTAATGTCTGTTATTTTTCATGGAGAGTATCATGGAGAATTGTGGCTCGCTCTAGAGCATCTAAGAGGATGATTCCGTTTCGGTTGAGCGACGAGTGATTGCTAGCCTGTCTAAGTCTGGCCACTCTCAACAGCTGAAACTTACAGTTCCTCGCAGTCACCCCTTGGAACTGCTTTTAAATTCATGTCCTTTTTTTGTAGCTCTGACAACTGATCGGAGTTTCTTCGCAGACACAGCCGGTTGGAGGAGTGATGATGAAGCTTGGTATTCCACATGTGCTGTCACGCATTCCGGACTCCTCTGCGGGCCCGATATATTACCGCTCACTCTGGGTCAGGATTCTACCGAGTCAATGGCTACTTTGAGCTTCAGAAAAATTTATTAAGGCGTAGTCTTCGTTTTATGATTTGGCTGTGGCTTTACTTTGATGGAAACCCAAGCGACAAAGTATCGCTGTACGAGACTCCTACGGGTCCGAGAAGAAGCGCGAGACGGCAAAGTAAAATTGCCGTGTGAAAGAGCCAAGCTAGATGGCTTACTTGGATAAGGAGTGGCAGTGGTGGAGCAGTATCTCATACTCACCAACAAAATACGTACTGGATAAGCTGGAAGGATGTACAAATAGCCATAACACGTACTTGTGTTACTTCTCTCTACATATAGTTTAATAAAATACATCATAACCAGCTTGACTTAATTGTGAACGATATATAATTAGACTCATCAAAAAAGCTAGACCAGAATCATGAGCCGCTACCATTAGTTACTACTCATGAAATGCAAATTACGCAAGAGGAAGTGCTGACAACGAGGCGTTGGTCGGAATCGGTTTTATTGAGAGTGAAAGATTGATGTGATTGGGAGTCTTGAACCATTGACTTGTAAGCTAATTCTTCTACATTGCTAAATTAGACTAAACTCGGCCTAGATAAATATTTCCCTCTCGGATTCATTGAGAATATCGTTGATGGGGGTTGAATCTAAGTCCTCCAAGATCACTACAAGTAGATCTCTCTTGAGCCTCTGAAAGTAAATTTAACATACTTTAATTTTAAACAAATGTAATAAACCTTTTGTCGCTGTTGTACCGATGAGTTACTAGTCCAAAAATTCCAAGTTTGCGATGGGGACAAGACTAGTAGAGCCAGTAGGAATCTCTGATAACATGACAAATTCATTTTCACCGGAAGCATCGCTACAAACTTCATAGTAGATGGAAAGGGAACGCAATAAAAGAACAAAAAAAATACTCAAGAAAAAGCTGATTTTCTCTTGTAGGGCTGCAGCCTGCTTACACCCAGTCCGTAGCCGTTCCCGTTACATCTCCCAAATGGGATAACCCCTCCACTAACGCTGAGAGCTGGCAATTAGTGCATAAATTTTCCTTAGATTCTGCACCTTCTTCAAACCATTCAGATCCAAAGGCGGCTTAGTGGAGAGCTATGTCTCCTCTTAAATTTCTTTTTCTGGGTAGCGTGAATCGAATTCTGAGCTCTCTTCCATGGAGAGATCCTTTATTATGGCGATAGTGGCGGCCTTAAATTTTTTGGCGGCAGCAGTCGTTCGTATTACAGATGCGTATCCGCGTTGACCCGTTTACTGTATATCACCAATTCTTTTTAGTGACCGGACCGGTCTGCGTTGCTCTTACTGGACAGTTTCGGCTAACTGACCTAAGTGAGTCCTTACAGTTGCGACATTTGATAAGAATAGAATTCAATTGAATTTCCTACTGAGTCTATGACTATGAAGAACTACTAAAGATATCCAAGCCACTTTAAAATTAATAGTAAATTTGACAATTGTTTTTTTATATTTACCTATGGATACTAAGGGTCTTGCTCTAAATGGGACACTTGATAGATGCCGTGCATTCAGAAGAGAAGTGCATTTTGAAAAACCAGCTCTCGCAGTGTATTGCTCGAGATCAACCGCAATTTCTGCCGAAGCTTAGGCAGCGGCAGTATTGCTGCACTAGTCTTCGTGGTTGATGACCAGCCGTTAGACACGACTCGTCGAGGGCTCCTTAGCTGGTTCTTGTCACAAATTCGTGAAGGAAATAGGCTATCCAAGACAGCTTGTCCTATACAGACGGACCAAGGAAAGGGTTTAATGGGTGCCTCAAGACATTTATTTGATCACCATATCTTCTGACTATTTTTGCATCGAGCCAATTTTTTAAGGTCATGGGAACTCTTGCCATCCAAAGTCCTACAAGATGTGAAGGGTCTTTAATCCTCACCCCGGCTGCTGATATTTTCTTGTCATTATTTTCCAGGAGAATCTTACATCTTGCCTCATTTTCTACCATGAATGCAAAGCCTGATGGAACACTATGGACCAAAAGTATTTGATCGGTTAGGATTTCAAAGTTGCGTAAAATTTATTCGCAAATTATGGCTAGAGAAAGTTGTCTACATATATGTTGTTTGTCTATTCAGACAAATAATCTGTCGTCTCGAATATGTGTTTCAGGATTTTTGAGCGGTAGTATGGTTATCATTATTGGTTACTATCATTGTCCTTTTTTAACTCTGCGACTAAAGTTGACGCATAGTTATTTTAGCTGGCTTTTGTGGTGCGTAGCCAATAGTCGTTGTTGAGGACTTTTGGTGTCCTTATCTAGCTATTGCCGTTTGGTGTCATTCACTTAGAACTGATCAATATGGATTTGAGCTCTATTATTGTCGACTCTACCGCCTGAGTGCCGACAGGACGAAGATGAAAAACAGGTGGCATATTTTTCGGGTACGTTGCTCTATTTTGCGCGATGTAACCTTTTGGTGTTGGCGTTGTATTCCGTTTGCAACAAGAGACTTTTAATCAAAGTGTAATATACTAAATTTACTGCATTGTAAACTATTTTAATCCTTTTCCAAGGCATCTGGAGTCCAAATTTTTTTGAATTTTATCATATCAGAATGTAGATTTAAATAAACTTTGTGTTCCTATTCCCGTACAAAACGTGGTCCACTTCGCCAAACGAGGAATGAGGATTTGAATACGTTTGCATATGTTACGTATGCTTAGAAGCAGACTCGTACTATTTAAAAGTATAAAGCGCGTGAGATGTTATATGAAAATGTAAGGAAATGATAAAAATTTATAAACACTATGGCAGAACTTTTACATAAGCTCCAGTCATACTGCGAGCCAAACCTTGAAAAATCTGATGCTTGCGGATAAAATTGTTCATTATTGAGAAATTAAATCGTTGCGAACGCACTCGCATAGCTAACAGAAGAATCATCTACGTCAACTACATCACTGCTTCTCTCATACCTGGTGAATTTAAATACGCGTTGCCTTTGAACAGTGTTATCAGGGCTTAGAATTGATCCTGGTGCTAGTGTTTCAATAGAGTTGTAATCTGCTTCCTTTAGTTGTTCTTTTTTCCATTTACCTAGAGCTTCTAGGGAAGATAAGATAATTCCAATTGGATGCCTTCCACATACAGTATTCCCCGTTTTATTAAGATTTTCCCAAAATAGCTTATGTGATCCGCTTTCGATGGCATCTAGCGCACCACGATCTAGCCTTTCTATGCTCTCATGGATGTAAGGCCGGGTTGGGGTTTTGTCACGCAGGTTGAGCTCGTATCCAGCGCTTTCATCGCTTGACTCGGGTATATAATATGTATAGCCGAACCGAAGTCCCCAGTGACAGAAATCAGAAGAAATGATGAACAGATTCGAAGGATCAGCTAGGTAGGGTACCAACAACTGACCATATTCTCGTTCAGACATAACAGACGTGTTACCAACAAGTATAGGCACGAGACGCGGATATTGGGCGGATGATCTATGAATGCGTGACATCAATTTAAAAATATAAGGCAGGTGCATTTCGAGACTATGTTCGTTTTTATCAGTGTCGGGTGCCATTGTGTCAAATTTTCCCGTGGCATGTAGGGCATGCACGGTTTCCGTATCGATAGGAAGTTCGCCTAAAGGAGTATTGTAGGACGTGAAGGAAGTAAGAGCGCATCGAGTGAGATACAGGTGATGCGAGGGTCCAAGGAGAAATATGCGCTGCGTGGCCTGGGTTATATCAAGGTCGGCATAGGCGTAAGCAGCGGCAGCACCCGAGTACGCATAGCCTGCATGCCTGGTATAGCTTCACATAAGCCCAAACGCGGCAGAGAGGATAGTGGATGAACAATGACTATAAGACTAACTTACGGTGCAATGATTATGCGGGCATTCGTCACAGGGCACGATCTGGTCTTGTTGGCAGATATAGCGAGCGAGAGCCAGTGATCGAGCTCTTGGGAAAGTTTCCGTGGATTCGAGGAGTACCAAGTGCCGGAATGAGAAGCAGCTCTAGTGTTCATACCGGCTATATCTTTTCTGACGACAATGCCCCAAATTTAAGATCGGGCGAGCCGGGTGTTACTGAAGAGGTTGAGGAGGCGCGAAGTAAATTGCAAGGGTGAACTCGCGCAGGACGCCTATTACCTTCTAGAATTGCCAAGGCAGTACGACGTCATTGTCTCCCAGCATGCAGCCTCAGGTCCATGGCTATAGCTCATTACCGTCTAAGCAAACAACCGCTAGAGGCAGGAGTGGAAAGCCTCCAAGTCTATCGGTGATGCCCTCTACCAATCCATTCATAAATTATTTCCCATCTACCGAGCAGTTTTCAATGGAAAAGGATAGTTGAACCTTTTGAGAGATTATCGACTTAAAGGAGGTATACCTTATATCTCAGTCTAGGAAGCAGTCTGTTGATATTATAACCACACTAAAATAGGAATGGGGCTTGACACCACTAATATACAATTTAAAGATTTATTTAGGCTTATTTAAGGGAGATATCCTTACCTTCACCACACCTCACTCTCAAATAATCGATGGTCAATATCTACCGACGAGCCTAGGTCTATAACTTATTCTTACAATGATCTCAGTATCCATAAATAACTTAATGAAGGAGCCCGTGGTGAAAATAGGGCTTAATATTTCTCGTATAATATGGAAATTTATTCAAAGAGGGTCAAATATTAACGACGGAATTAGACCCCATAATGACGGCATACTTACAGTTCAATGAGGAGGCACTAGGTCGTGACAAAGCTGTGTGCGAAAAGGTAATAATGATTGGAGGCCACAAGAATGTTGGAGTTTCAGGCGTATGAAAATCGAGCCCGAGAGAATTCGTCGGTTAGTCATGAGCCTGGCATGTGACATACGAAATGTATCTGTGATTAAAACGATAACTTGGTACAAATCATCACATTATCCAACGAGTATTCATTATCCCATACTAGTAACTACATATCATTCCATCTGGATTGAACAATCAATTTTCCTCTCCAATCTAGTCATCGTGCCTAAGATGGTGTTGAGCAAAGTTATACTAATTTGAATCTCTCTCAGAGTTTATTGAATTCTTCCTCCTTTCTGAGGATGCTATCTTAGTTCTTAAATACATCTTTTAGATTATTCTCATAATTTCCTCCCAATCTCCAGATATAGCCCAATAATTACAATTATTTATGCAAACAGCTCGCATTTCCCTTCTTTACATGGTTCTAAAATTGGTCCTGTTTGTTCCCTTAATAGCAAATTATAAGTGGAAAGTGTAACCAAGCATAGTAAAATTAATGCTGTTTAATAGGAGATTAAGTGACTCGATTGTAATGACAAAATACAAATTACAAATTACGAATGCTAGCAGAACTATGCATAGGTAGGTGGAAATCTATCTAATAACATATGCATGACTCGAATATAGCCAGTGACGCTTTAATCTTGTATTTCAATTGCATACAGATTAACAATCTTTAATAAAGGTGATTCTTTATTTAGATGTTATGATGTGTTATTCGACAGATGGCCTATTCGCAAAATCCACCCCCTCTGGCCTAACAGGTTGCAGAAGAGCTTGAGCTCGTATAGGGCGTGGCAAGGCGCCGAGCTACATGGGTGCAGAACTTCCACACCAAGTTTTGGGCATCTGTTGAAGAGGCCGATCACCTCATTAAAACCTTGAGCGCGAAAAAATGGACGCGTTTCTTCTTGTAGTCGCATCTGGGCGCCCGATACGGCAAGACAACCTCAAACATCCTAAATTGCCCGACCTTATACCCAAGCCAAGCCAAGCTATTCCCCCACTACCTTCCGATTCAGTGTCGAAGCTTTCCAGAAACTGGGTATCTCCACTCGCTACTTTCACCCCTGCCCCGGCTCAAATTAGGCCCAAAGCTATAGGTGACTCTAATTGCACGACTACCGTAAAGCAAAGGGCCAGATGGTGCAGTGGTACACCATTCGCCTCACAGAGGAAGATCCCCTCCTCAGAGCAGACGTAACTTCAGTCAAGGTAGCTCTTATTTACATTGTTCCAGATCTCAAGGATGTTTTAAACTTCATTTCTCGCAGCTCAAGTGGTTTTAAAATCGCCTTTTAGTCTGACGCATTCCTTAAATTTGCGATGGATAAGGTAAACTTCATAAAGTCATCTCTCTCAGGATCACTTTTGAAAACAGAGGACCGTTTCGGGTACTTTATGAAACGCATCCCACGCACCATCTAGAATCCGTTTTCCAATCTGTGTTATAATTGTGGCATGGATATCCCGGCATATGTATATTGAGGATTGGCGAGACATAAACACAAATGATGCTAATGGAATGGAATGGACTGATATATTTGATGATTTATTGTACTACATGAGTCTATGAATATCTAGCACATTGGGCTCCTCTCTGACCCAGGCCACACCTTGTACAGTGCTCCTTGCATCGTTTTTTACTGGTAAGATCATTGATATATTGCCCGTGATGAATAGCCATTCAGCTCAGTGATTACCCGTGGAATTCGGCCACCTTTTCCACGGAACCTTCTACCCAAAGAAAATAAAAATGGTAGCAATGGAAACTGCGTGCGCGGGAAAAAGTCTCGTAAAACCTGTAGGCCCAGCCAGGCGAGGCCTAGACACCGGGACCACATGAGGTGCGCATATTCATCTATATCTCCCTTCTTTGTAACAGTCGAGGCCATCTTGATTCAATCCGCCATCTCTGTATCGGGTGCTGGGTACGCTTCGGAAACTCATCGGATGGCTTCTCCTCCATGATCAAGGGTTGGTGATGAGAAGGGCTCCGACCCTACCATCTAATCAGATCGTGGTCAGCTTCATGATAATGGTGGTGGGGGCAGTGTTGAGAGATGAAGACAATACAGACCGCGAAAGCGATTGGGAATCCTCGTCGAAGTGAGGAATTTGTTACTCAATCTCGGCTCTGCAGACTCTACAGTGAGAGCTGAAGGTTCGTAGAGGATACCACTGATAGATGTTGAGAATAGTCTCCCTAACAGGCATGATAGTTTTAAAGCGGCGTAGCTTCCCGCTCCTAAATTGCTCATAGAAAATATAAACATTCAATTGTGGAATTGCTTTCGTGCAATGGCCGAAAGTACTAGCCCGTCACAGAAAGTGATTTGATGCTCTGGCATTATGAGCTAGACTTCCCAAGAATACAACGCTGATTGTGTGGTAGATGAAACGAAAAGGGTCGACTGGATGTTCTGGAGCTGCTTCGCAGAGCCAGAAAAAGACTCCTGTTTATTTTTGGAGGGCAAGACTAAACTCCTGTACGGGATAATGTCAACGAACCTGGGAGTGATAAATTCTCCCAGAGCCAAGTTCAGTCAAATTTCGCAATACCGAACAAGTTGGCTCACGAGGCAATCATTCAAAATACTCCACCGCATCAAATTTTCACTCCCAAAGGGATGGAATTGTACCTAAGTCTCATGAAGTCTACAAGTACGACCAAGTACATCCTCATTCCAATGATCACACATCATGTCGACTTTCTCTGGCCTCAGCTGGTCGCCAAATATACGTGTTGTCTTATCCATGTAACTTACCATGGTACATGTTAAATTATAAGAAGGGTTGGTCAAACATAATCATCCCTACAATTTAACATAATGGAGTTAGGGTTGTGGTTATTGGTTGCCTAGGAGTTAAAAAGGGTAAGGCGTCTGTTGATTTTATATACCCTGTATTAGTAGTTTCATATTAGCGTGTGGATGAGACTAGGAGCGATAGATTAGAGGGTGCAAGATCGCGATACTTCTAAAAAGCGCGTAGACGTAGAGACGAAGACACACGCAACAATTTAACCCTATACTTTATCAAATCTACTTCCAAATATTCCAGTAACAGTACTACTGTATTACCCGTCCAGAGGAATCATATTCTAACAGTACATGCTTTAGGTAACGTCATAGCATATGCACGTGACTGTGGAACTAAACCGTGGGGTATTTAGTGTGTAATGCATGTTTGTTTGTTTGTTTATTAATTTAGGTCCTAGGCTATACCCGTTATCCCCTAAGGGTCAAAGACCGATGTTCACAGCCAAGATCATATCCCTAATAAGCCAAACTTGATCCCACCGCTTGAACCACTAAACAATAAGTAGCTAGTATAAAATTCGCACTGGTACAAAAATTCAACCTTTAAAAAACCAAACTCCTAACCACAAAACTATCTAGCTCTGTAGATTTACCAATCTCTGGTTCGGAAACAAATCTCCTCGACTTGTCTTCCTTCCTGTCATATCATCTGTATGACTAATTTATATTGTCCCCGATGAGATCAGAGGACGAATTTGTAGATGGCAACCCAAAACAGCAGGTTTCCTTCTCAAAGATTTTGAAAAATTCGTGACACTTTGGCCCGAGAAGTTTTTGGATAAAGCCACTATGTGACGATCTCCCTCTGAGTCGACGCGTGACGTGAGCGTGTAGTCGACAGTGAATAAAATGGGTAGGAGTGGTCTCCTCCCCACAGGCGCACTCCATTATAGCGTCCAGATTGTTGAAACGGCGATGATGCGCCGCGAAATTGCCATGTCCAGTACGAGCTGCAATCAGATTTCGGAGTAGGAACCTCGAAAGTCCCAGCTCAGGTGGTTTCCTTCGTCGCATGAGCAGGTCGAGCTTGCGATATCGGGGCGGGCAAGCTTCGTTGCACCAATCGTCGAGTAACGCCTGGCGCAGACGATTCATTTGGCCATAAAGAAATGCCAGAGTGATGGATTCTGGATGCATTTCCGGGCTCGGCAGCATTCGTAGGCCAGACCTGGCGGCCGAGTCGGCTTCCAAGTTACCCTGGATTCTTGAATGTCCAGGTACCCAATTAATTATCACGCGAGCTGATTTGGACAACTCCCGAAATTTCCGTACTTCGTCGTGGCTTTTGGTGGACTTGCCTGTCTCAAGTGCGTTGATCGCCTGTTGACTATCCATTAGTAGGTAGACTCGTTGTCTCGCGCTCTGGAGTCCCAATGCTGCTTCAAGAGCCTTTCTTGCCCCGGTGATTTCCGCATCCAAAGCCTCACCCCCATGCCTGATGCCACTTCCCGTAAGCAAAGTCTGCCCGTCTCTCTTCAGAACAAAACTCCACGCAGAGCGTCCATTCCCCTCCGATGAGCCATCCGAGTAGGCAAAAATTTCCGACTTCGGCACCTAGTTGATCCATTGCCTACAGATCTCAATTTGTTCTTCCTTAGATCCTGCTTTCGGTAAGTAGGATGTAGGCGGCAGTGGTTCCGCGTGCTCTGCTTTTGGTAATTGTCGGTACGCCCGCTGGACTCGTGACATTATTACTTCAGGAACCGAAGTCCCTCGATTTCTCTTCTTGTATTTCCGCGTGCCGATATTTGAGCACACAGCCGCACGAATCCTCAGCGGGTGGCGATCATCCAGAGTTTTGAGCCTAACTGACAGTCGAAGTCGATTACCCTCCAGTATGATTTTCCCTGGTGGAATTCCTCCTTCTCTGTGCAGTACAACGTTTGCTGTCGTCCTCATTACCGGGAGTGCAGCTCGAAGTCCCATCAAGACAGCCTTGTCGATCATACCACTTAGATGTGCTGTTGGTGGGGTTGTCATGCCTTTTCTCGTCGGGCGTCTGAGACCAGGCCACCAGATTTCCGCACCGAATGTCGCAATAGGAACCACACACATGTCGACTGCTCGAATAAGTGCTCCTGGAGCGGCTCCTCGGAGAGCAGTGTTGAAGCGGCGCAGGCT